GGGAACTCCCCATGGGGTAGCCCACCGTTCCGACTAAGGAGATGCCTTCGCATAAGCGGGCCAGAAAAAGAAGGATCGTGGTGGACTATAGGAGAGTCAACGCCCGAGTTCTTCGAAATTCATACTACAGCAGGAAAGCTTCCGAGGTAATCCTGGAAGCGGCAGGATCGGCATTCCTCAGCATGTTAGATGCCGTCACCGGGTTCAATCAGGTAGAGAACACCGAGAGGGCGAAGAGGGTCCTGGCGCTCGTTTCTCGAAGCGGCCAGTTCTTGCCAACGTGTTTGACCTTTGGCCCGCAGAATGGACCGGAAGATTTCGCGTATGTCGTGGATAGGATTTATGCTCCAGGCAAGCATCGCAGAATGCGCTTGATGAAAGAATGGCTGCCATATGTGGACGATCTGACCATCCGTTCCGGCAGGGTTCTAGATGGAGTCGTCTATCGCGACAAAGAAGTGACTGCTCGCGTCCGGCAGGCGATCGAACGATCTTCAGTGCAGGAGCAGCAGATCACGGAAGCTTTAGAAGCCTGCGGATTTCGCTCTCGCGGCCTGGGCGCAGAAAGCAGTCCAAGCCAACAACTGGTAGGCCCAAAGCGGCCGGTACAAAAGGAAGCGCAAAGAAAAGGCCAAAACAAAGAAGACGGTAAGACCGGCGAGTCAAGCGCTAGTAAGATGAGTTCCCTTTGCGACCAAATAGGTGCGGGGAAGAGCAGGTACGACTTTCCCGACAAACAGGGAGGTGTAGAACCAGAGGTTTGCAAGGTTCCTCCCCCGGTGGCTCTTGTAGAACGAGTGTTGACGGTTGAGTGGGGTGTTAGGAGTTGGGGCAATCCTCAGGAAACCCGGGTTCCTAGTTGCAACAATCCCACTAACGTTTCCCGCAGCCATTTGCTGGTTCAACGGGCGGTGTCTAGCGAGGCCGTAGAGAGCTTGCTACAGACGCCCACCAGAGGCGATAGGAAGGGTAACAAGGCAGGTGACGAGCGACTACTGACCTGCGGGCGCACCCTGCCGCGGTCCGTGAGTATGGGCGGAGAAAAGGGCAAGGGCCGAGGAAAGTTCAAAGGCCTCTGGGATGTTTGGGCGGGGCAGTGGAATGTTGACGAAGTCAGCCGAAGGATCACGAAGCTGCTCCGGCATGGGAGAGACCTCTCAGAGCAAGAGAAGGTGCAGCAGATCAGCGCGGCTGGGTGGTCTGCCGCATCTTTCGTGCTGCGGTGCCTCAACATCATCCCAGATCAAACAACGGATGAGCTGTTAGTGAGAGCGGCAAAGGAGTCTGGAGGGCGTCTGGAGACCAACTGGACGTCATTGGGGCTCTACATCCGGGCGCGTCATAGCTGGAGTCTTCCCCACGTGAGGGAAGGATTACCCCTGGCGATTTTGGAGCAAGAGCCCTCTGTCTTGTTCCACGGAACCTCGCGCGCCGCCTGGCAAGGGATCTTGGGGTCTGGCGCTCTGGTCTCAGAGGCGACCCTGCACGGAGGTCATGGTAGAACCGATGTGCACCTTGTTCGCCAACCAGAAGCGATCAAAAAGGGAAGTGAAGTGATGATCTGGATTCCCACCAGGTTGTTGGGTCGGATCGCCCTGAGAGCCCAGCATCCTGTCTTCGCGAACGAAAAGGCGATTTACTTCAGCTTCCCATTACCAGTTGGGGGTATGTGGAAAGTTACAGCCGTAGATACAAAGGAAGTAGTCTGGACAAATGACGCCATGACACCGAGCAGAGCAGACACGCCGCAAAGCACCCCTAGGGCAGCGGACCAAGTGGTCGCGCCTCAGGCAAGTAATGCAGGTTCAAGGGCCAGAGAAGAGAGCCCAGAATCTTATGAAGAAGGAGAGTCGTCGTATGACGAGGAAGATGAAAGCGAAGCAAAGAAGAAGCCAGGAGAGAGTTCCGCCGAAGGCTCAGAGGAGACGGCAGCTCCTGCAACCGCTGAGGCTACAGAAAAAGGGGGTGGAGAACGCCCGGGGCCGGCTTTTCCACTGCCGACAGAGCCTAAAGCAGGGCTGCCGAAAGTAGCTGCTGCGGACAGTGCCGGGACCAGCGCCGAAAAGGATTCGCCTCTGCAAGAGGACAGGCCACGGAGTTCGCAAGGAACAGCCGCGATACGGTATAAGGCTGCTCCGGCGTGTTTGAAGGCCACAGTCAAGCAAGAAGTCCTAGAGAGCGAGAGGCCTAGTGGTGCGGCGGCAGCGGAGTCAGTGACAGTGGAGAAGGGGGCCACCAAAGAAGGGAGCTTATCCCATGAAGTAGCGGAAGTAAAGGAGGAACCTGGAGCGGCTCAGAGCGTCCAGGAAGAGAGCGTGAATGAAGGACCTGGTGCGGCTCATTGCGCCCAGGAGGAGAGCACGGGTAAAGGAAATCCGAGCGAAGAAATTCGTGAAGGAGGGGACCAAGTCGAAGCCAGCAGTTCGAGAAAGACAAAGGAACTTGGGCCTTCCGCTGAGCAAGTCAAGAAGGAAGCGGAAATGACGGTCCCGGTCGGGCAGGATGGGGCAGTAGTCGAGCTGGAACAGAAGCCAGACTCTTCACCCGATTGGGGAACTTCTTCAGCTTCGGAGAGCAGTCAAAGATCCCGGAGTACCCGTCGGAAGCCCAGTCCGACTAGAGAAGCATCCAGCGGTCAGGATGACGCGGATGGATCAGCCCGTCAGGTGGTCTTGCAGGCGAGGCCAGCAGAGCTGGCAATGCCACCAGAAGGGGCAGCAGGAGTACGTAGCTCCACGGCGTCCCGTCGAGACGCCGTGCGGGCGCATATGGAAACGCACGGATGTGTGACGTGCCCGAGGTGTGGCGAAGAGAATGCGCAGTGGAGAGTGATGTGTTATAAATGCAACCTGGAGAGAGCGGACGCAGGTGCAGTTAGGAGCGAGTTCGAAGCTCCATACCACCGCGGGCATAAGAAACGCGGGAAGAAAGGCTCGGCGCGCTCCTCACACACCTGGAGAGGCAGCTGGAGCTCGGATCGCCAAGGACAAGCCACTGCATCGAGCTCGGAGGACTGGCGACAAGGCTCATGGGCTTCGCAGGATTGGCAGAACGACGCCTGGGAGCCGGAACGCTGGCAAGGTGGCGAGTGGACGTCGCAAGACTGGGGAAGCGGATGGAAGAGAAAGTACGATCCGACGTCCGGAACGGACGAGAACCATCCGTACGCGCATGCCGGGCAGGCGTGGGCAGTTGGCCTAGGGGCGACGCTCCTGTTGGAAGTGGCGTGGTCAGGCGTGAGAGTCGCCCGGCAGACAGGGGAGAGCGCTGCGGCCATAGTGCGCGCGCTCGAAGGAGCTGTCGTGGCGGTTGTAGAAGCCGCCGGAGTACAGGCAGAAGCGACCGTTTCCAAGGTGTTCGAATGGATGGCCTTGATCTTGGCCTTGTGGGCTGTCTGGGCTTTGGGTAGATGGTGGAAGCACCAAGAAATGATGATGGCCGGGTTTAGCGCTGGGAAGAAGCGTGGGAAGAGAAACACCGATGCCGGAAAGAAGGGTGAACCCGAAGGGCAAGAGTTGTCGCCCCTAAGTGCACGAAGTGCCGCTTCACCTCTGCCCGCACCAAATTTTCGAACACTTCGCGCGAAGGCTAGGCTTGAGGAAGAAGGAAGAAGAACGAGATCGTTTCCGGCTCTCCCGCCTTCCACCACGACCCCAGTGCAGACGACAGGTAAGAGAAGAAGAAATCAGAGACTGGCTGGAGTTGAAACTCCTTCGATGAGCCCGGTCGGGAAAGAAAAGACCACCAAAGATCCAGCGGCCCAGTCGAGGGCGCGGACTGATGACCGTTCGGTGGTGCCAGAGAAGCCGATAGGGGCAGGACCAATCCGAACAATCGAGCTGCTGCGAAGTGCTACCGAGGCGCAAGAGTGCGCAGTACAAGTGCTGACCTCTTGTGCGGCCGAGAGCGCCAAGAAGGAAGTCATGGTTCGGCTCACGGCGTACGCCATCGACCGGCCGGAGTTGTTCGGAGCGCTAAAAGTAGCGCAAGATAGAGGATGCGACGTCGAGGTGTATGTTGATAAGTCGCAGACCGGACGAACCACAGAGCAGAAAAGGTTGGTGCACCAGGCAAGGTCCCAAGGCTTGAAGATCTTCATTGCAAATGGGGAAAGCCTGGGACCGCACTATGCGGCAGCAGGGCGGACGCGTTACAACTTCTGTGGAGCATTGCATGGAAAGACCCTAATGGTCAAGAAAGGTGACCAACTGGAGCTCATTATCGGCTCCATGAACTGGACCACTGCTAGCCGGGGAAACCATGAGATTGGACTTCATTTGACATTAGGTCAGGAAGATCCGCTAGCCATAGGATTCCAAGAATGGGTCAGTAACGTGAAGCAGTTCGCTTGCGATTTCCAGGCAGCAGTAGCATCAGACGCGTACGCAGAAAAGAGCCTCGGAGCGGCCAGGAACTGAAGGCGCCCGAGTGGCAGGAATCCCAGCGGTCCGAGTGACGCGGGACGTGATGGTGGGAAAAGCAGGCAGGAGGGCGAATGTGAAACAGGAGTTCTCCTAGGTGCCTGCTCTTCCTGGTGTTAGGTAGGTTGAGGCTAGGCTGAAAGAGCCCGCCTTTTGGTTTTTTGGCTCAAGGTGCAAAGCGCACGAAGCCTGACAGCCTCGACTGTGTGGCGAAAAGTCAAGCGGTGTTCTCGAGCCGACACGTCGCTTTCGCAAAGAAGCTACTAGGAACAAGTGCCACGCTAGTAGTAACAGGTGCCTTACTACTAGTAACAAGAAGCTACTAGGGGCTCCTGGCCTTACTACTAGTAACAAGAAGCTACTAGGAACAAGTGCCACGCTAGTAGTAACAGGTGCCTTACTAGTAGTAACAAGAAGCTACTAGGGGCTCCTGGCCTTACTACTAGTAACAAGAAGCTACT